TTCATCTGACCGTTTGGCCCATTACAAAGTTTTCCTATCGGGGCCCTCTTAGGCGTGAAGTATTTTCCTTGAAAATATAACCTCCGAGGGTGATGCCCCCCATTATTCGAGGTTGGTTGAAAAGAAACCTTGGATACTGTTGAGTTCTCCTTAGGTAGCACATAATTGTTGCCTCATTAAAAACCTTGCCGGAAAAACCCATTTGGGACAAAATCCGATCTAAAGGAAAAAGAGTGCAATGCATGCTTTAAAACCTAAGGCCTTCACGTAAAAAGGGTGTCTTCGAGATCGCGTACCTTCGAAAGCTTCGATTAAAAATCTATAATAAGTTAGTTTTAAACTCAAATGGACAAAGGATAAAGTCATACCTTAGCAGTAGTATCGTTTGAGTAATGATATGTTCTAATTGTTTGGCAGTTGTTCACCTTCCATCGTGCTGAGTTTGTAAGATCTTGTACCAACAATTCCGAGGACTCGATATCCTTCCCAGTTCGGGCCCAATTTTCCTTCATTCAGGTCTCGAGTATTGAGGGTCACCTTTCGTAGAACTAAGTCCCCGACTTCGAAATGTCGGAGGTTAGTCCTTCTATTGTAGTTTCTTTCGATCCTTTGCTTTTGCGCGGCCATTCGAACAAGTGCTGCTTCTTGTTTTTCATCTACCTTCGAGGTATGAAGCAAAGGCGGGATCGACAGATATCGCTTTAATTCTTGCTGACATTCCGGGGTCTATGCGAAGTCCTTCTTTGAGCAAGGAGAAGAATCAGTGACTCCGATCCGACGACCTCGAAATGAATCGACCCAAAGCAGCTATTCGCCCTATTAGCCTTTGCACGGCCTTCACGCTATCCACGATCGTGATATCTTCAATAGCCTTGATCTTATCGAGGTTGATTTCGATACCCCGATTTGACACCATAAAGCCGAGGGACTTACCTGAGCCAACTCCGAAGGCACATTTCTCCGGGATAAGCTTCGTGTTGCATTGCCTCAAAACTTCGAGTGTTCCTGCAAACAAAATAAATGGTCCTCTGCGTGCAGGGACTTAACCAACATATCATCAATATAGGCTTCCATTGGTTTACCTACTTGTTCTTCGAACATTTTGTTAACTAGGCATTGGTACTTAACTCCTACATTTTTAAGCCCGAAGGGCATTATGTTGCAACAATAAGTTCCAAATTTAGTAATAAATGAAGTCTTTTCCTGGTCCTCCAGGTTCTTCTGAATTTGATTGTACCCGGAGTAGGCGTCAAGAAAAGTTAGGATCCCGTGACCGACCGTGGCATCGATCATACGATTGATGTTTGGCAATGGGAAAGAATCCTTCGAACATGCCTTATTCAAGTCCTTATAGTCTATACACATTCTAAGTTTGTTTCCTTTTTTCGGAACTACAACTACTTCGGCTAACCACTCGGGGTATTTTACCTCCCGAATGGATCCTATTTTAAGAAGTTTGGTTACCTCGTCTTTTATGAAGGCATGTTTTACCTCGGACTAAGGTCACCTTTTTTGCTTCATCGGTTTGAACCTGGGATCGGTGCTCAACCGATGCATGGTGGAATCCCTGTCATATCTAAATGGGACCAAGAGAAGCAATACATATTATCAATAAGAAATTGAATGAGTTTTTTCCTAAGTTCGGGGGTTAATCACGTTCCCAGGTATACCTTTCTCTCGAGCAAGTATTCGATAAGTACGACCTGCTCCAGTTCCTCGAAAGTTGACTTGTTTGCATCGGACTCTTCGGGAACGACGGAGGTTCGAGGAGTAAGGAGATCCTCCTCTTCATCTTCGATTTCCTGTTGCTCCGGCTCCATCGAGGCTGGGGGCTGTGATTTTAGCAGCCCGCTTACCTTTGGTGCTCGATTTCTCTAAGGTCAAAGGCTCTAGTATCGACACCACTTCCTCGATTGCAAACATCTCTTTTGCAGCATGCCGTTCTCCGTGGACTATTTTCACTCCTTCATCCGTTGGGAATTTCATCATCTGGCGAAGAGTTGAAGGCACTGCCCTCATGTTGTGTATCCATGGTCTCCCGAGGAGTGCGTTATACCTCATGTCACCTTTTATGACATGGAACCTGGTGTCTTGTATGGTCACGGCTACGTTTACTGGCAAGATAATCTCTCCCTTTGTTGTTTCGCTTGCCATGTTGAAGCCATTCAGGACCCGGGATGCAGGTACAATCTGATCTTGTAGGCCGAGTTGTTCCACGACTCTCGATTTGATTATGTTTGCTGAGCTACCTGGATCCACTAAAACACGTTTAACTTGAATTTTACTTAAAAGGATAGAGATTACCAGGGCGTCGTTGTGAGGCTGAGATATGCCTTCTGCTTCCTCGTCACAGAATGATAGGACGTCCTCGGGCACATAGCTCCGAGTCTGTTTTTCTCTTGTGATTGATACTTTGGTGCATTTGAATATAGGTCGTTGAGGGACATCGACTCCGCCAATGAGTATGTGGATTACATGTTGTGGTTCTTCTTGCTCATTTTTCCTTGAATCTCTCTCCCTGAAGTGATTCTTAGCCCGATCACTTAGGAATTCTCGAAGGTGGCCCTCGTTGAACAACAGAGCCACTTCTTCCCTTAGCTGCCTGCAATCTTCTATTCTATGACCATGTGTACCATGATACTTGCACACCAAGTTCGGGTTTCTTTGAGAGGGATCGGTCTAAATAGGCCTGGGCCACTTGGTGTATTTTATTCTTCCAATAGCTGACACAATCCCTGATGCATCTACGCTGAAGTTGTACTCCGATAATCGAGGTGCCTCTGCAGGATTGGTATGTTTACCGAATCCGCTTTTACTCATGAGTCCCCGAGAGCGTTGACCTCGATTGTCTCTCCGATCGTTTCGAGGAGCGTTCCTACCTAGACCGTTGTTTCTTCGATCGACGTATAGTTGATACCGTTCCTTGTTTGATCTCGATTCCCTGTTTGTATCCCACAGGGATTTAGAAGTGAACCTGTTAGGATGAACCGAACTCGAGGGGGCTCCCAATTGATCATCCTCGACCCTGATTTTTGATAGATAACGGTTGTGCACATCTGACCACATCACAACTGGATACTCGATCAAGTTCTGCTTTAATTGTCGAGACGCTATCGAGCTCCTTTCATTCAAACCCTGCATAAAAGCTTGTACTCCCCAGTCATCGGAGACTGGTGGTAATTCCATTCTTTCCATCTGAAACCTGGACACGAACTCCCTCAACATCTCGTCGTCCCTTTGTTTTATCTTGAAGACATCTGATTTCCTCGTGGCCACCTTTATGGCCCCGACATGTGCTTTTACGAAGGCATCTGCTAACATAGCAAACGAGTCAATAGAGTTAGGAGGCAGGTTGTGATACCAAATCATGTCTCCTTTCGACAATGTTTCTCCGAACTTTTTCAACAAGACTGATTCAATCTCGGCGTCATTCAAATCATTTCCTTTGATCCTGCAAGTGTATGAAGTAATATGCTCATTGGGTCGGTTGTTCCGTTATATTTGGGTATATCGGGCATGTGAAACTTTTTGGGGATGGGCATCGGAGCCGCACTTTGAGGGAATGGTTTTTGTATGAATTTTTTGGCATCTAATCTTTTCAAAACTGGAGGTTCCCCCGGTATCTGGTTTACACGGGAGTTATAAGTCTCCACCTTCTTATCATTGTCTTCAATTTTCTTTTCTCCGGACTTGACCCTCTTGGTGAGCTCTTCGAGCATCTTCATAATCGTAGGGTCAGTCCCCAAGCCACTTTCATTTGACCTTTCTAGCGTTGGCTTAACAGGTCGCTTGTTTTCATGTTCAGCTACACTCGGAGTCTTATTTTGACTTTGAAGTTGAGCGATAACAATTTGCTGAGCCTGCAGCATCTCGAATATCACTTGGAGGCTGATTCCTCCATCTCCTATTCTTGGTGTTCCTTGGTCCCCTGGTCGGGCTTCCCTGCATACACTCCCTTCGGGGTCTGTGCCTAAGTTGGTGTTTAGAGCAATATGTGAAACGGGTTCCACATTTGGCACTTCCCCAGGGTTTACCGGTGGTAAACCGACCCCTATATTGTTGTTTTCACCAAGTTTGTCGTTGTCATGAACAGGTGCATTCTGTGAGCTAGACATTTTTCAGCCTGAGAATAAAAAATTCTTAATAAGAAAAAGTGTAAAAATAATGTGTGTAATAAGAATCAGTAAAGAAACAATCACTATTATCTTTAGCCCCACGGTGGGCGCCAAACTATTTACCTCGAAAATACGAGTAACAATTAAATTTGATTTGTGATTTTAAAGATATGTGATTTAGTTCAATACCAATTAATAATCAAGAAATATGAAGTAGAAGTGAAAGAGACAAGTGAATCAAACCAATATTACTTGACAGTAGTGACCTCGAGATGGTGACCTCGAGACGGGCTAAGAACAATAAAGTAAGACAAGTAAAGCAAAAGCAGTAGAGCTAAAGGACTGATGAACAATAAGCAAAAAGTAGAGTATATATTCTCTTCTCAGTGATTGTGTCCCCTACAAATGATTGGGGTCCCCCTTTATATAATAGGAGAATCCTAAATATGGAATATTTCTATTTACAGTGGGAAATATTCCTGATACAATTGTCTAACCGCCTAGTACGGAATCGTACAATCATATTCCGGAATTTGCGCCATAATCTTGGGGACGTGGCAGGAAACTAGCTCATTCTGTTACAAACCCATTTCGGTACTATTTCGGGGTCGAGCACACTTGGCCTTGGTATTCCTCGAACTCCTATCCGGGCATTGCACTTTATCTTCGAGCTTGGTGATCCACCGGCTTCGAACTCGACCTCGCCCGTACTAGGGCCTAGGACGGAACCTCGAGCCTATAAATCGGAGGCATACGATTTCGACCGTATACAGAAACATTTTTTTAGGCGAAAACATCGATCAAATGTTTGATATATTACAATTTGCCCCCACAAGTTTATTTATTGACCTCACTTAAAATCCAGTGGCTTCTACATTTGACAAGTAGCAGCACTTCACAACATTTACGTGGAACCTTTCCCTGATATTCATGCTCACATCTATATACTTCAATTTTCTGCCTCCATTGAGCTCCAAAATAGTAGCAGAGAAAATCGTCAACAATGTATCGATCGGCGGCGAAGCGGTTACTGCCGGCAGTTTACCGCCGGCTTAACAGTCGGCCGGAACTTGCAATATCGCCTATTCGAACCCTAACAGCAAACAATTCCACTCGATTTATGACTTCAGCTGCCACCGGAAACATAACGGACCAGAACCCTACTCTGGCTAACCCTATTCCAGCTGACTCTATTCCGGCTGACTATACGGCGTCGTCATCGTTCAAGGAAGAAGAAAGGACACATCATCATGAACAATCGAGCTCGAGAACAAAGCGACCTAAAGCTCATTACAAAGACGAAGAAGCGCGTGTGCTCAGTGCCTCTCTACCTCACGTGGTTCGTTACATTTAATATCTCTCTGTTTCGCGGTGTGGATATGAATTATTGAATTGTATTTGTGTATATTTATGTGATTAATTTGTTGTTATCTGATGTGTTATTGATTGAATTCGTTTTTGGGGATAATGTTGTTGATTTGGTGGAATTGGCTGAATTAATTGTTGTATTTGACCTTAGAATTTGTTGAACATGCCTTGTAATTCTACTGCAAAACTTCTTTAGTGTAGAAGTAGTTTCTATAAAAATAGGTGAAAAAATGAACCTCATTAAAAATTAGAGCCCGTTTGGATGGGCTTGTTTTAAGTGACTTTTAAGCCAAAATAGCTTTTAAGCCATAAGTTAGAAATCCTAACTTTTGGCTTTTGGCTTGTTTTTATCATTTTAGCTTAAAAACAAGTGCTTAAAAGCACTTTTTTACTTTATCCAAACACTACAAAATGACTTAAAAGCTATTTTGGCTTAAAAGCACTTAAAACAAGCCAATCCAAACGGGCTCTAATGGAGCTTCGGTGATATAAGGAAGATGATGCCCGTAATGGAAGGTTAACCTAAGTCCTAATATACATACCAAAAGAGAAAGGAAAAAAGAAACCGGATATTTGGATGTTCAAATGTGTTTGGTAGGGAGGAACATATTTTCTTGAAAACTATTTTCTGGGGAAGATGTTTTACTTTGAGAAGTCATATTTTGGGATTGCTTTCCTCTGTTTGATTAGGTATAATGGTCGGTGATATATGATTAACCCTACAAAGTGTATGGTAAGATATGACGGATAATGATTTAGTGGTATTTTTGAGTATACAAGGTTGACAACAAAGTCTGAGTGTTGATTAAAGTAAGTGATGTCGTAAGAATTGATATATCTGTAAAGGAAGTTGACTCTCCCAGAAGCGAAGGAAGTCATTTTCTCCCTTTTGGTGGAAATATTTTCATTGGGGAGACATTTTTTTTTACAATTTAGGGTAACCAAACACTGTAATGATCTCATCAAGGAAAGTTCTTTTGAAAAATGTTTTCTGTCATACAAACACACATCCCCCGTTCCATTTTGAATATATTGGACTTGAAATTGGTGCTTGGTAACCTGTTTGCAGCTTCGGCTAGGATGGACTGAAACAGCCATGATTTCAGGTGCAAGGGATGTTGGGGTGTCGCCTTCCATCGTTGGATCATTTCCTCGGAAAGAAGCTGCACTAGTGGAGGTAAATGATGGGTCACCTACATTTACTCATAGTTCTAGATTCTTTAATGTGATTGTTTTTTTGGGGGCATTATAGAGCTCTAACATCTTTGGCTTTGCTAAAAAAGTTGATATAAGCTTGTCTGCTTTTCAGTTGTTAATCTTTTCTTCTGGTTTTCTCCTTATTCTATCTGCACCTGTTTTGTTTGGTAATAAGTGTAAGTCAGAGAACTTCATTGAGGTAAATGACGCAAAGTAAAAAAGGTAATGATCGTGTTTCCATGATAAAGGGGTTATTAATGATATATTCCTGCTAGCTTATTTTATGTAACTATATATGCCATTACGTGCTTTGTATAATGAACATACCAAAGAATGAGCTAAATCCTAAGATATTGCTAATTTGCATAGGGTTTGCGAGAGGGGCTTAAAAGCTTACACCTTGCAGCTGCAAACCTCTAACCGTTTCCCTGACTTTGTTTTTAACACAAATTGCCATTGGCAAGGTGCTTAGTGCTCTGTCATTCAGCAATCAATCTTCGTCTGTTCTTGAATCAACATCATGTTGTAACTTACACTGGTTTTTTACCTGTATTAACAATAGCTTAGCTGACCTAATTAGTGCTTGTATTTTCTCTTTTTGCGGGTATCAATAAGTTAATCCTGTATTAACTTTTTATATTGAACTTCTTTTTCCCAGTATTTTATGGATGAGTGTCTCGAAAGACTCATCGATATCATTGAATCAGCGGAGGATCTGAAAAACTTGATACCTAGTGAGCGGGTGGCAAAGCTTGTTAGAATTCGCTTGGAAACACAGGCTCCGTACATATCAAAATGGGCCCAAGCTCTCAGTATACAGGTACTTCCTTAAAGATTACATCTTTTCAGGCCCCTTTCTTTTTTGGTTTGCAGAAATTCAGACAACTTCTGATTGTAGGCTCAACCCTTGAATGTTCCTACAAGCTTCAAGCAGCGTGCAATGCTGGTTGATGAGATCTGGCATGCTGTTGGTGATGATGCCAGTGAAATTGATTGGTATGTGAAGCGCACTGTCCTAGGTGGAATATACTCCACAACAGAACTATACATGCTGACAGATAACTCTCCAGGTGTGTCATTTTAACTGTTACGTATTTTGTCTGATGCTCATTCTTCTCCTGTGATCCTTCTAATATTACGGTTTAAGTCTTATTAAAATTTTATGATCAATTAAAATTGAGCCCCTTTATAATCCTAACATGCCCCACTGTCAACAGTTCTTCCTGTTTCGTACTGTTCTATTGACATGGGACTATTTCTTAGAGTTGGCTGGAAGCCTCTTAGGTTGTTAGTAACTATTCATACTCCATCTTTTCGCTAAATCACTCTTTAAATATATGGAAAAAAGCATTTTTTTATGTAAGAGGCATGACAACAGAATTTTCTCTTGGAATAATAATCCAGCAAAAGATGTACTCTTGCTGGAGCCTTGGTTCATCAAACTGAAGTTGCCAATGTCACTTTTCCAACTCTCCTAACACTGTTAAGTGAAAAAACAGGACACTTGCTCCAAAAGGAGTATTCGGTACGAGGTCCTCTTTTGATACGTTTATGTAACAACTTTGCTCTCACTTAGCCAATGTATCCATTGTTGCATGTTTTTCGCTAAAAATTAATTTAGAGCGTGATTCCTCTGCCAGACATTATTTTTTGGATTAGAAATCTTTTGGGTGAAAGGATATAAATATGAATGACTTTAGAGTAGAAAGGGAGGTGGCACCTCATACCAGATATCCTAGGGAAATGGATTTCATATGGTTTTGGTGCTTTTTAAGAATCTAAGCTTCATGAAGCTCTTGACGCAACCATGCCTGCCATTATTTCCAAGTTGCTTTGCAGTCTTATAATTCATCTTCCCTCTGCTCTCGTTTCTTGTACCTCTGCTCTTTGGTTTTAGAGGCACAGTTGAAGCTTAACTGCCTACAACCCCTCTGATAATTAGTTGGGCAGCTAATATAGCAAACAAAACTTCCCTTGCAAGCAGCCTCTATTGGAATATTCTTCCACTTTTACCAATAATTTCCATGTATTCAGAAAGGTCTCTTCTCTGCTCTCTCTGGAAGGTGTTGTTCGTTTTATTTACTTAGCATCTGTCTTGTATTTCTCGGCTTTATTGTTTATCTGTTGACAGATTTTCATGATACATGGGCATTCTTGGATGCACGAGTCAAAGATGCATTTGATCTGAAAAAGACTGCTCAAGAGGTATTTTGCTGCTAATGTGATTATTTTGTTTCAACTACCCCTGAAAAGAGGCGACTAGGATTCTATCTTGCACTTCAAAGTTTTGGTTGAGAACAAGCCTGCAATTTTGCAGGCACAGCGTTTGGCTGAAGCAGTTGGTGCAGGAATGGGAGGCTCTTTGCAAGGTTTTATGCAGAGGGTCTTCACGCGTTGAATACAGTTTGCACAGTGGCTAATACGATTTAATGGGCGTGGTGGTTCACAAAATAAAAATTATAATTTGTGTCTATCAGCAGAGCTGCTAATCTGAATTAGCGGAATACCATGCACTCGACTTGACATTTTGGCCACAGCATTTGCTTATACACGTTGATACTGCTTATTTCTGGCAAAATGAGAATAATGTTACAAGTAGAAAGCTGTTCCATTTGTTTATTTGCTGTCTGAGCGGCATGCATAGATGAAAACATTTAGTCTTTTCATCAGTAACTTTAAACATAAGGTTTGACTTGCTTCACTTGGTTTCGGTTTAGCTTGTAATTGTGTTAGGTAATGGACGATAGAGAAAGATCAATTTTAGAAGACTAATGACAAATGTGTATTTGCAGTTTTACTTGGATGAAATGTCTAATGCTGCTGGGGATGTATGATGATTTCAGTCTCTCTTAATATAAAGTTGAGTCTTCTATGCTAAGGTGGGGTTATCATATGGTCTAAATTCTAATAGCTGTTACCTAGAGGATATAGTGACCTCTATTTTTAATATTGAAATTACCCACTAGCAAATACAAGTCTGTGGTAGCAGAAGTCTAACGATAATAAAAACGCTTCGGACCAACATAAACTACATTAGGTGAAAATGAAAATCAGCGAAATAAATGAACTAAATCAGTACTAACATGGAGCTAATGGTCCAGTCTATCTTCATTAGAATCTCGCTTTCCTTTAATAACTGAGGAGAAACAGTTAATTGGAGTGGGAATAATTGACATCAGGTAGGTTGGAATGCCATCTAAATACTACTACTTCCGAGGGATAAAAGATAAGAAATGCAATATTTGCTCTCATTTTTTTTATATGTAATTTTTACTTCCCGTAGCAAAGGTTGATACTTTATTTATATTAAATAAATACTCTTTTAAAAAATTATATTTCACAACTACCTTTTAATTTTTATATTCAAATATCTATTTATTGTCACCTCCTATCCTTAAGCCATAATATATACTTTGTATTATTTTTCTCTCTTTTATTTTTTCATATTTTTCTCTACCCCCTCTCTCTCAACGCCAGCTTATCAAAAACTAGGTTTTGAGATTTTAGAGAATCTTACCAGTCCATACCCGAGCATTTAGTTCCTCAGGAACTGGGTTCTTGATCGAAGAAGTCCACATGTCACTCTTAACTGTATTTGAAGACCTTTTAGCCAAAACCAATCTCTCTCCACAAGATATCGATGTTTTAATCGTTAATTGCAGTGGATTTTGCCCCGCTCCCTCGCTTTCTTCCATAATTGTTAACAAGTTTTCCATGAGAGAACAGTGATGTTTCCATAATTCATCTCCATTGTCTCGCAAAATTTTTAAATTCTACTGTGCTTCTTAGATCTCTTTGGACTGAGTTAGTGATCGAAACGGGAACAATGACGTTTCGAGTCAGAATCGCGACCCTCTCGACGAGACGACATTAGGGTTGTTCTTGAACAAAGATGACGGAGTTTGGGGCTGAGCAACTTGAAGATTCTGTTACCTTTTTTTTAATTGTATTTCAATGTATCTCGCTGTATTCTATGTATTTCAATGTATTCATTGTCTTTTTTTCCCATTGTATTTCAATGTATCTCGCTCTATTCCGTGTATTTCATTATATTCACTGTCTCACTATATTCCATGAATGTATTCATATGTTTTTTTTTTTAATTAATATAATTTATGTATTCAGATGTATATATGTATTTAAATGTATCTGCAGTATGTATTCATATGTTTTTGCACTATAGATGACCTGCTATACTTCATGTATTCAAAGTATTTTTATGTATTTAACTGTATTCAATGTAATTATATAATTTCTCTGAAGATTGCTATGCTTTTGGGGTGTTTTAAGGTTGAGAATCTTTTTTATAACTGGAAATACAAATTTTGTGTGTTATAATTGAGTTTGTTGAGTTATATTAGAAGTCTATTATGTTAATTGATTCACTTTCCGTTTAAAAACAGCTGAATAGACCATGAATTGCGCTATTTACGTTACTGTATTCACAAATACATATCGTGAATACAGTCGAATACAATAATCTGTCTAGCTGTAATCCTCTGTTTCACGCCGAGAAATGCTATTGTATTCTTGAATACAGTTGCTTAAATACATCGAATACATTCTAAAAAACCTAAAAACATAGCTATAGGAAGTAATATAGTAAATGGTAGCTACAACTAGCTAATAACCACTAAACAATAGTGGTTTGTGAAAATTTCTCTTTTTTATAAGTAGCATATTTAATAACATTAACTAGTCAAAACTCATAATGTGTTCTTTAAGGCACCAAAACTAAGTCCTTGTTCACATTAAAATAACTGTATGGACATTGCACCATAAACATTTTTAAATCCCTAGCACCAAAAGGAAATTGAAAAAGAGAAAAACACTAATTCAAGATGAAACTTTGAAGTTTGAATGCAGACAACAACAACAAACCCAAGTATAATTCCGCAAGTGGAGTTTGGGGAGTGTACTGTGTACGCAGACCTTACCCCTACCTTGTGAAGGTAGGAAGATTGAATGTGGACAACAACAACAACAAAAAAAAATCCAGTATAATCCCGCACGTCGAGTCTGGGAATGGTAGTGTGTACGCAGACCTTACCCCTACCTTGTGAAGGTTGGAAGTTTGAATGCGGACATCCGCAATAATTTTCTCCAGGAGAAAAGGAAACTTGCATCACACTGATAATGATGCAGAGATTACATACATGCACACAGTTTCTTGGCTTGGTGGTGGAACTAATTTGGCTATCATGGGTAGAATAAGCAAAGTCATCAGGGAAGATCATATGACAAAATTTGTAATGATCTTCAATGCCAACAGCAAGGTATATCCATATGATGATTCTCATAACAACAAAGAAGAATCAGCAAAAATAAATGAATTACATATAAAAGTATGGTTCACATATAGGTTAGAACTGAATCACCAGTAGTCACCACAAGAACAAGTGCCATTCTTGAATCTATGAAATCTGCTGGCATCCCTAACAACAATTTCTCGCTTAGTAATCATGGCTATCAACTTAATTGCATTGTGACAATCGTTGCAAATCCTATGGCTTTGAACAAGTTGCAGTGAGGTTGAACTGGATGTGCTTATGAGCCCAAAAGATATTGCCAACTTTTCACTGTGATAATGTGGCAATTTTTGTTCCCGTTCATCTACATCGGGTAGTAAGGTTTTTCCCTCTGTAACATAGCCATGCTTGGAAATCTCCAGCATAAGCTCATCCAATTTTTGATATATCTCCTTCGTCTGCTCATGGCATTTATCTCCGGACAGGAAAACATGTGGCTGCTTCTTTATTTCTATCCATGTACATGCTGGCTTTATCCTCAGACCTTTTCTCGTCAATGTTTGAACAACTGCAGCAGCTTCTTCTTGCTTGCCGGAACTGTTGTAGATATTTAAAAGCATCACATAATTGCTAAGTTTTTCTGGTTCCATACCGTACAGTTTCTCAGCTGCAAATTTTCCAAGCTCAAAATTCTTGTGGACTCTACAAGCTGTCAGTAACGCCGCCCACATATTAATAGTAGGCCTAAAAGGAGCATCTCTGATTAATGCAAAAGCTTCATCTAAAAGTCCTTCTCTACCCAACAATTCAATCATACATGCATAGTGCATTGCTCGAGGCTTCACACTGTAATCTCTACTCATTGATTCAAATATTTCCCACCCACGATCTGATAAACCAGAATAACGACATGCAGATAAAACAGCCAGAAAAGTAACATGATTGGGCATCATTCCTTCGCAAACCATTCGCTCAAATAGCTCAACAGCCTCGATCCCTTGGCCATGATTACCATATCCACCTATTAAGGCATTCCAGGAAATAACATTCTTTTTGGGCATCCTCTCAAAAACATTCCGAGCATCTTCTATCCTTCCCCATTTGATATAGAAATCAACTAGTGCTGTGTTGGCGACTATATCAAATCCAAATCCATGTCGAACTAGCCCAGCATGAGCTTGTTTAGCATGCTCTAGTGAAGCTAATCTAGTGCAAACTCTGATAATGATTGAAAATGTGAAGTGATCCATTTTGACACCAGCATCTCGCATCTCATAGTACATACGTAAAGCCTCCTCACTATAGCCATGGAGAGCGTAACCAGCAATAATCGTATTCCACCCTACTGTAGTCTTCACCGGCATCTGATCAAAAACAAACTGAGCATCCTCTATGCTACCGCACTTGCTGTACATATCAATTAAAGCACAAGACATGAAAACATTATCGTCTTCCCCCATTTTCAAAGCACAACAATGCAACTGCTGTCCCAAAGAAATAACCTCTAAACCAGAAGATGCTCTAATCATCGTGGCATATATCCGAGAATCAGAACCAGAGAACTCCTCCTCTTCCTCCTCCAGCATCACGAAAAACAACCTAAACGCCTCTACATAATCCCCTAAATCCACTAGCCCACCAATCATCGTATTCCAAGAAATCGAGTTCCTCTCGGGCATTTCATCGAATATCATACGTGCATCTAACATCATCTTACATTTCACATGCATAGACAACACCCTATTCCATAAATACTGGTCTAATACCAATCCTGAACTAACCATATGATTATGCACCCTTTTAACACCTCTGATTGACCTTAACCCAATACAAGCAGTAATCAAAGCATCATAAGTGCTACTACCTAACTGACAACCACCTTCACATTCTAACAGCTCGAAAAAATCAAGCGCCTCGTGATACCTTTTATGAAAAACTAACTTCTCTATTTGTGCACTAATCCCTGAACTTGAAGAATCCTCATTTTGGGTCACTTTTTCTTCAATCAAATTTTCCTCCTTTTTTGAAGGTTTTAACATTGGTCTTGGCTTTATAAACCTATGTTCAGAAAGTGAGCCTTTGATCTTAAAAAACGCATTTTTGTACCTTTTCTTACTGAATAAAGAGCAATGCCCATAAAGATGAAATCTTTCCTTTAAAACTTGTGGGTTTTTCAAGAAAGCAACATACTTACAGGTGCTCCTTAGCTGATCCAGTGGCAACGATATGTCCATTTTCAGGATTATAACAACAGAAAAATAAAAGGGTGTTTTAAGAAATTAGTTAAGAGCTACAGTTTACCTCCAAATTTTGAATCAGATTTGGAGAAATTGCATCAATTGGACATCAATCAACCCAGTTTAGAGTGTGTACAATTGATAATGGCGAAATGAGTGAATTTTCTGATCTCCACAACGAACTCCGCAATTGCAATGTTGATATTTGCAGCTTCGAAAAATCCGCCACTTTTTTTTTTTAATTTTATTTTAGTTTTTTCCTTTTTCGGCTTCGGCCGTTGGGTAGTTGATAGTTGTTGGTAACCAATGAAGAGAAGATCTTTCCTTTTTCAAGGGAAATATCATGACCTCCATGGTTTTTTCGAACTTTGGGCTCAGTGGGAAATAAATCGATTGGGCTTATATAAGATGATTGCATAATTAGCCAAAATTTTACGGTATAGCCAGTTTTCGGACTGGTCAATCAAAAATAGCCAGCGTTTATCAAGTCAATGAAAAATAGCCACCGTTTTGCAGCAATAGAGACCGGTCCAGCATAATATACTGGAGTTCGGTGCACTTGTGTATGAACTCCAGCATATTATGCTGGACCGGTATACTTTGCTAGCTCCAGTATAATATACTGGAGACTGGAGCACTGGTGCTCCAAACTCCAGTATATTATACTGGACCATTATACTTGCTGGAACTCCAGTATATTATGCTGGAGTTCTAGTGTATTTATGCTGGAACTCTATCATATTATGCTGGAGTTCCAGCATACTATCCTGGAACTCCGGTATAATATGCTGGAGTTCAAGTATACTTATGCTGGAACTCCAGCATAATATACTGGAGTATTTTTCGGGTTTTGAACAGTGTTTTTACTCAGATTTATCTTTACATAAAAAGTGGCTAAATTTCGATTACTTCTGAAATTCGGGTGTTTTTGAACGACCAGTTGTAAATCTGGCTATTTTTAAAAATCACCCCATAATTAGCCCATTTCAAGAAGATAAGTGTACAAATAGCCGCTTGAAGGCAGAAAATTACACCAAATGATCTTGAAAATAGACGGTTTTGATTTTTTGACCCCCGTTTGCCTCATGATCAAACTTTTAAAGTTAAAACTCAAAAGTCTTATTTCTGGGACAAGCGAGGGCAATAATTGTTAAATTTGAAGTTCCGCCCATCGGGCAAATGGGGTCAAAAAATCAAGAATGGCAACCGAAGTGTTCTATTTGTGCAAATCACCTGCTTGAAGGACTGATAATGTGAGACAGTCGGATTTTACAAAATATCTAAATTTTAGTCACTTTGAAATCAAATTTCCGACCGAAAAACTTTCAGCTTCTGTTTTTCAAATGTGAAACTGGGAACTGGCTAAGCGTAATCTTCGTGCTGAAATTTGAAGAGGAATTGACCTAAATAGTTGTCCACATATAATATATGTGTGTAGAATCGTATATATTCAATATATAATCTATGTATATTAGCTAATTTTTTTATAGAACCCAAATTTGAACTTCAAACCCGAAAGTGTGAAGCTAGGCTTAGCTGAATCTTAATTGCAGAAGCAAAATATAGTTAAGTGCAATATTCTTCTACACTAGAAGTCATCATTAGTTGTTATTTAGTTCAATTGGAGAAGCAAATCATTGAATGATCCTAGAGTTATTTGTACTACAGTATTATTTGCATTTTTCATATTGAATTAAGATAAAGTATTCTCACCAAATAACTGTTGCCCATGTTCTACTTGCACCATAGTTGATTATATTATTGACTAATCGCGTGAAAATGATGGTATAGGAAATAAGTAAAAACTGTTATAAATAGAATTGTATTTAAGATGAATTTTTATATTTTAGAGAGATTTTTAGGGTTTGTTACTTTGTGCCTAAGTCACTTTTTCCCTAAAAATAAAGGGCTTCTACTCCATTATAAATAATCTCAAATCAATAAGAATTCACTCTTCCTACTTTCCTCTACAATACTCTTCTTCTTTTATTGTTTTATAACACGTTATCAGCATATTTTATTATTTTATAACACGTTATCAGCACGAAACTCCAACCAATTGAGTAGAGGCTTTGGGATACGTGCATGTTGCTCAACTTATACATAATATTGAGCATAATGATGGTCAATTGTTCCACGAACTTCCTTCAGGAATAAATTCTGGATTTAAGGTAAGTACTTTACCTTATTTTTCTCTTTTTAAATTCTTGAAATTCTATAATCTGATTTTAAATACAAGCAAGACAATAAATTTTGATTATAACTCTAATAGAGTTTTTAAGAAATTAAAACCACTCGAAGTGGTAAAATTTTTATTTCTTGCCATGATCAATTCATGTATGATTGTGAGCACAAGAAGTGAAAAATCGTCTCATTGAATTTACTTCATTCTGATTCCCTTAAGAGAATGTGGTAGTAGTATGTGATAAGTCTGAAAGAAGACAAAATTATTACTGTGAAGATATCAATGGATGTGGACGTGACAATAGACGAAATTATAATCGTCATCATTGTGGTAATAAGATGTCACGACCCTAAAATCGACCCGGTCGTGATGGCGCCTATCGTGAAACTAAGCCAGCCGACACAACTCCCGAATTTAACCCTTTAATCAATAACAATCATTTTTAAGCCTTTAATTAATCAGATAATCTCATAATGTAAGTCTAAATGAACAGTGCAGAATAAATACACAAGCCCGACATCGGGGTGTCACAAGTCACGAGCATCTACTAACGTCTGAATACAACTACGAGTCTAAAAATGTACTAAATACAGTCTAAGGAAGACAAGAGGGAGAAAAGCAGTGCTGCGAACGTTGGGCATCTACCTTGCTAACTCCAATGACTCTGCCACTGACCAATCAACACCCACTACCGGGTTTAGAAATACCTGAATCTGCACACAAGGTGCAGGGAGTAATGTGAGTACGCCAACTCAGTAAGTAATAAAAGTAAACGAAAGCTGAGCAGTAAGAAAACACGTAAGCCACGTCATAAAGCTACAACAAATACAGTATATTTCCAAAACAGTACAGAAATCATTTATTTCGTAAATCAAACTCAGTTTTAGTAAAAAAAACCCTTTCCTTTTTAAATCATCTTCCAATGGTTTTAAACGAGTGATAAAAATAGTGAGTAAAAATGATAGAAACGTAAACAGCCCCTCGAGCAAAACATGTACCATAAACCGCCCCTCAGGCACAATATCAACAGAACTAGCCCCTCGGGCTACCTCACAATTACTCGTAATCAGCCCCTCGGGCATAACATGAATTAAGAACCACCCCTCGGGCAACATAGATCAAGAACAGCCCCTCGAACTTCAATATGAAACAACAATAGCCCCTCGGGCTACAACACATCACTCACACTGGGTACCCGCGCTCACTAGGGGTGTACAGACTCCGGGAGGGGGCCCTTACGGCCCAAGCGCAATAACAAGCCATCCCGTGGCATAATCAAACAGGCTCTCGGCCTCATATCAATCACAAGACACCTCGTGGCATAATAAATCAGGCTCTCGGCCTCTCATATATCACAAATCAGTACCACATGCTGCGGCGCGCAGCCCGGTCCTATGATATCCTCACAACACAGGCCCTCGGCCTCACTCAATTAGATCTCACTCAAGCCCCTCGGGCTGACAGTAAAACAAGTACTCGGCTCAAAATTATTTATGAAATCAAAAGGAATGAATAAAATCGAGTTATGAAAACAGTAAGAACATAGCATGATTGAGTGTAAACATTAAACCAAAACAGTGAGAAAAAATAGTAGTAAAAGCCCCTAAGGGTCCAAACAATCGGCCCAAGGCCCAGACACGGCATTCAGCCCCAAATACAATAATACTTTCCAAAATATAACAATATCAAATAGTTTTCAAGTAAAATACGCGACTTAATAGTCATACGGGATGGACCAAGTCACGATCCCCAACGGTGCACGACCCCACGCTCGTTATCTAGCGTCTGCATCACCTCAAAGTAGCACAACAATGTGAAATCCGGGGTTTTATACCCTCAGGACAGTATTTACAATCATTACTTACCTCAATCCGGTCCAAACTCTAGCTCGCGATGCCTTTGCCCCTCGAATCGGCCTCCGGATGCTCCAAATCTATCCAAAAACAGATTTATACCATCAAAATATGCTAAGGGAATAAAGCTCACTCTAAAATATCCAATTTATACCAAAAATCCCGAAATTGGCCAAACCCGGCCCCGGGACCACGTCTCGGAATCCGATACAAATCACAAAACTAGAATCCTTACACTCTCACGAGTTCATACATATCAAATACATCAAAATCCGAACACAAACAACCCCTCAAATCCCTAGATTTAGGTCTCCAATTTCCAAGCCCTAACTTCCAATTTGCTACTGATTTTCCCATATAATTCAAGCTTACAACCTTAAAAATCATCATAAAAACGAGTTTAGGGACCAAGGACCTTACCTCTAGGAAGCCCTCTTGAATTCTCCCTTCAATTAGCTCTCCAAAGCTTCTTCCCGTTTGAAATGTTATAAAAAACCACTCAAAATCGCGAAGGGTGAAATAAACATATTTTGACCCAGCAAAACCGCACCTGCGGTTAAATGGTCACACCTGCGGTCCTAGGTGCGCACCTGCGAAATTCACTTAAAACTCCAAGGCCGCATCTGCGCAAAGAAATCCGCACCTGCGCAATCGCAGGTGCGACCAGGACCTCGCTTCTGCGGTCCCAGCCTGCCCCTCTCCTGGTTGCTTCTGCGGCTCCAAAATCCGCTTCTGCGAGTCCGCACCTGCGGTCCCCTAGCCACAGGTGCGGTTGTGACAGCAATAGAAAGACTTCAGCTGCCAACCCAAATCAAAATCTTCCGTCAACCATCCGAAATCACCCCGAGGCCCCCGGGACCTCAACCAAAAGCACAAAACAAGTAATATACCACTATCCAAACTTATACCAATCTTCAAAACACCTCAAACAACATCGAATCAATCAAATCACATCGGATTCAAGCCTAAGGTTCCAAAAATCTTCTGAATTCTGCTTTTGATCTAAAGTCTATCAAACCACGTCCGAATGACCTAAAATTTTGCACACACATCCCAAATGACATAACGGACCTACTGCAACTCCCGAAAATCCATTCCGACCCCTATACCAAAATCTCACCTATCAACCGGAAACGCCAAAAATCCATTTTCGCCAATTCAAGCCTAAAGCTACTCCGGACCTCTAAAACACATTCCGATCACACTCCTAAGTCCCAAATCACCTAACGGAGCTAACCGAATCATAAAAATTTCAATCCGAGATCATTTACTAACAAGTCAAAACTTGTCAAACCTTTCAAATTTTAAGCTTCAAACTG